AAAAAAAAAAAAAAAAAAAAAAAAAAACACGAACAATACATCTAGAATAATGGCGTCATGGACAATTGGAAGCTGGAGAATTCCAGATGATGGATATAATGAATTTTCTCGCGACGTTAATTGACCCCCGTCAATTCCGACCCAGCCCGAGGCCCAATAACGAACTTACTACCCCCGGGCGAACGAATCGTCCACGCTAGCAAAGAGAATCCGAGCAGGATTTTTTTTTCGGCCTGTTCAACTCAGAAGGGGGTTGTCGGATGATTCGGCAGGGATTTAAGGGTGTGAAACGGGGGTGCAATGTGTGTCACGCGCGATTCGTCATTTCAGCTAAAAACTCGGCGAACGTGTCTGCCATTTGATTACTTCGACCCCGCATTACTTAACCTTCTTTTTCCTTCTACGCTCCCCTCAGAAAGAAGCCGTAAGAACGCGCGGGTGCTTCTGTACTCTCCTATCCTTTTTTTTTTTAACTTCATTTTCTGCCACCGGCATAATACGCTATTGTTGTTATCATTTAGTACAACTACCCCTATCATTATCATTATTATAAAGCGCGATATCGTCGGCTCGCACGTTAAACGATCTAGCGGGTGAACCAAGAAAAAATATATATATGAATATATATATGTCTCTATATACGCGAACGTGTATATCGTGTAGAAGATGTAAAGTGATCGTGTAAAAATGATAATACAGATGAAAAAAAAAAAAAATAGAAGCAGACAGAGTGGTATGAAAAAGATAAAAAGAATGATGCGAGAGAGAAAGAGAGAATAAAAAATATTGAGAAAAAAAAAGAAAAAAAATTCTCACGGAAAAAAAAGTAATCCCTAACGAGGTATAGCGATACGAAAAATGTGTACAAGGGGGAACAAGTAAAGTTACGGTATGACTCTTTTTTTAGTTGCTGTCGGTTTTCACTCCTTTAAATAAAAGCTACGTGTATAATAATAATCGGTCCGTTCCCTAACATATCATTACCTTATATAATCTTTACGAATTAATTATTACTCCATTATTACTAGTCAAGAATACACTTAGGGGTGACCAATCCCGTTGTTCTTTTTTTTTCTTTTCTTTTACTTCATCGTATAATAATATCTTTCGCAGCCCCGTTTAATAGCCGTCCGAACGTGTACATACGCGACACTGTTTATATACGCGAGCCGTTTACATGGGCATCGATATATTTATATATTTATATGGAGCACGTGCTTCCGTGTACAATATACAGTGCGAGCTGCGCATGCGCGGAACAGGAAAAAGTTAAATCTTCTTTTTTCCCTGTCACAATAAAAACAACGAATTTTCTTTACGTCTCTGCGCACGCGCGTATTTATACACGTAGGCGGGTGCCATAATAATAATGGTAATAAAAATAAAAATAATAATAATAAATATATAAATATATTAATACGCCTTGTATACGTTGCGTTGTATACATATGTGTGTGTATATATATATATATATATACCGGATATATACACGTAATACAGGGAAATACACGGCTTCCGGTTTTCCGCCCGTCGTCCCATCGGCGAACGCGCAAAAATACAAAATCTAAATTCTTCCTCGATAAAATATTATACTTTATGTTTATATATTATTTTAAATATTACTATATCGTTTATATAAAGGTATGGGTATTATTATTTAATACTCTAAGCGAGGGATGGCGGGTGGAATGAAGAATACATACGTATTCGGCGGGCCGAGATTTTGCGCTCGTATTTTTTTTTTCACTTTTCTTTAACTTTTCTTTCTCCTTATTCTTTTCCCCCCTCTCTTTTATATATTCATCTAGCTCTCAGACTTCCTTACGGAGATTTTCTTTTTTAATACCAAATTCGTTGGTCACGCCACGTGTCCGCGACTACGTCAGTGGATTCTCGAATTTCTCGCCGGTTTTCGTCTCTCGCTCTTTTCTTTTTCTTTTTTTCTGTTTTTTTTTTCCCCCTTTTTTCTTTGTATATCTTACATACCTAACACTCAAACCGTTCGCCATTCATAACGACAGGAGGAAACTAGGATTGGTCGCGGACACCGTAGCAATCCCATACAAAAATTTCTGTGTAATTGTGTTTTTTAGAGGTTATGTTAGGTTTAAAAGCCTTTACGTAGCCGTATTAATTGTAAAATGCGTGTCTTGTCATTAACCTCTCTCAAATTTTTTTTTAAGATGCCCGCTTTCGTCCAAAAATTACCCGTGAGTCATGTGTGTCGGCGTACGTGGATTTGCATGTGAGTCGCGCGTGTAAAGTGCATGTGTACTGTCCGTGTCCATTTTTTTCTATGTATGACGATTTTAATCACGTGTCCGTAAGCAACCCTCGTTTATTTAATTAAATTCTTTTTTTTTTCTTCTTCCTCACCCGAGATGATTATCGGCCCTAACCTAACTGCCATCTCTATCAGATGAATAAGAGTTATCGAGTACTGTTAATGGATTTGGAAATTTTTTTAAAAATGGGTTATATGTATATTTCGAATTTTCACCCCCAACCCCAAAATATTTGTCGACCCTCGTCCCACGTAACATCCACCGTTTCAAGATGGCGACGATGACGAGGTTCGTTAACGGCTGACCTTTGCCCCCGTTAACGATACTCGTAACGGCATCGTCTCCATTTTCTTTTTTGTTCTTTTATGAAATACCTTTCGCAGTAACTACTGTCTGACTGTGTCAGAATGTAAGTGGCGACGCGTTATTATCTGAAGGAGATCATAGAAACGGAAAGGTCCATTCGGTGGTGGTTGTCGACGGTGGCGCCGCCACGCGAGTAAATGTTGAATGTAGCGCTGACAGCGATTGAAGATGGCTCTGGTGTCGGTAGATGGTACTAGCGTTGCTAGCGATGGTCCTGATGATGATGGCGTTGGCAGGGTCGTCACAGATGATCTCTTTGGAACGCGACGCTCCCCGTCGGCGTCGGTTTTGACACTTAGCAATATTAGCGATTCGTTGTATCCGGTTTCCTCTCTTTTTTTTTTCTTCTTCTTCATCCAGGAATATATACGAACGGCTATCATTCCCGAACTAGTTTATTGGCAGCAGCAGTGGAATTAATAGTTGTGCGCGTCTCCAAGGTACGTCGTCCTCGTTCTCCTATGCGTCCAGCTGCGCGTCGTCGCGTCGCGTCACCGTACCAAGACGTGGACCCGGTCCGTCCTTGAGGACGTCTTCCTTGGGTACCAGCAGATGGCACTGCCGTTGAGACGATCGGTGACCGGCGCGATGACGACGGGGACGTCAATTTTAGTTGGACTTAGGAGAGGATGCGAAGAGCCTGGAGGACAGGCCTCGAGCATACCGGGCAACTGGGGTCGGAACTCTCGCAGACGCGGTTTCCGCAGTCGAGACAGAAGAGGTTATGTCCGCAGGGTACAAGAGCCGCGGTGACTTCCTTGTCGCCGCACACAACGCACTCCCGACGTCCACCGGCACTTCCGCCACCGAGGAGAGAGTCTGTGGGTGAGGCAGGGCTGGCCGATGCTGGAGGCGAGGGTCTCGACGGTAGAGCGACTCCAGGAAAGGACCAGATCGACGAGGCGGAGACGGCCTGAGATTCGAAGGACGGCGATTCCCCGAGACCCTCGTCGCGTTCTAGACCAGCACCCCAAATGGCGACCAGATCATTGAGTCCCGGTGCACCAGAGCTGCTGGAGGAGCTGCTGCAGCTGCCACTGCTGGAGAAGGCGCCGCTGGAGCCATTGGACCCGTTGGATCCTGGTGGATCCAGGCAGCCCAGGATCGAGCCGAGTCCTCCTCTGCACAAGGCCCCCAGGAGATCAGCCTCCTCGACCCCGGGTCCCGTGCCCGTTCTCAGAGCGATATGAGCTTCTATCTCGCGTCTGGCAGCCTCGACGTTCTCCGGGAGTCCAGTGACCTCGAAGACGGGTTCCTTGTCGCGACTTGGAGTCACGATGTACGTGTGAGTCTGATGCTGGATCCTCTTGATGGTGGCACCCTTGGGCCCCACGACCAAACCCACGACTCTGTATGGTACTCGTACTTGGATGGTCACATGACCGGGAACGGATGCTGGTGGTCCAGGTGGTGCGCCCAATAACGCGCCCAGGGAACTCTTTCGCGAGGCCCTGATCTGGGAAAAGTGCTCTGCCGCGGAGAGGATCTCGCGCTTCGCTCTGGCGACGTCCTCCTTGCGTCCGGTGACGACGAAGACAGGTTCCTCGCCGCGCACCGGTGTCTTTATGTAGGTGTTGGTCTTGGCCCGTAGTGCCTTGATCTTGCAGCCTGCAACAGAAATGACAACGTTCTCCTTGATTCCTTCCCTTTTTACGTTCGTACGGGCAATTTCTTATCCGTTCACACAGAAGGGGGACCCTGAGAGCAGCTATGCCATCGTCGGGAGGAGACCAGTGAGGAGCGAGAGAGCTCAGAGGAAAGTAAGAGCACAAGACCCGACTGCGAGTGCTGATTTGCAGGAAACTCGAGGGAAGGAGGACCCGACCCGATCTCGGACCTGGTCTGGCCCTCGATCTCTCAGACTCCCTGGCCTTGAGCCCGCGCAATGTTAGCAATGCAGGTGAACCAGTCTGTGCTTCTCTTCTCCACGTTCAATCTCCTTCTTCTCTCGCTCTCTCTCACTCTCACCTCCAAATCCAACGCTACTACACAGGCTCCTTCTTCTGCCAAGAGGAGGATGCTAGACACTGGCATACTCTCCAGACCGCCTTTTCGCATCTTCTCTCTTGCACGCACACGCACTCACATGCTACACCCTCGCTCAAGATCATCAGTGGAATTTCTCGTGCCAAATTCCAAAAAGTAAAATAATGATCCACTCAAAAAAAAAATTAAATTTCGTCAATTTTCCAAAGTTCCTCAACATGTCCCATTAAAGTCTCATTGACGTCCCATCAAAGTCCTCGATCGGTTCTACCGATTAAATCGCCAAATTACAAATCCGATCATTCATCAACAGCCCAGCTACCGTCTAGCAAAGAGCGTCGAAAAAAAGATAACTGCTACGACCGTCCGCTGGACCAGTAAAACGTAACAGGAATTCCCGCTCAAAACTTCAGCGATCCCTATAGACGTCACTTTCTCCGGTGCAGTTGCAACGTGGCCCGATTTCAGGTGGACGTGCTCACGGTGCCCGCAGGGCCATGAATTCTTATTATTATCATTCGCAGTAGGTACCGGTTAATGCCACTGACACTGTAATCCGTCCGGCGGCACTTTCCCTCTCTGCCGTCCAAGGGAATTCTTGCCTAGGGCCACAGCAGCGCCGAAGGAGCATGCGCCACGCCATTGCAACGTCCGGTGACCTTTCGGGGGGAAGAGCGAGTACCAGAACAGCCCATCTACCCCATCTTCACGTTTCCATAGTCCTTTTCGTACGAGGATCTCCTCCATCCCCCCCCCCCCC